TGCCTTTTTTCGTGACATAGAAAATTTTCCAGCCCGTTTTGCTAGTTTCTGAGAGAAATCATAATAAAGAGGATAAATTAACCTCTGCTTGATTGGCTTCTTTTTTACTAAAAAAATTTCATATCTCGTCAATGAGGAGAATATTATTTACTCCAGTTAATCCCTCTTTAAAATTTCCCTCTTGGTGCTGCTGTAAGACGGCTAAATCTAATTCTCGGCAGCCCGGAATAGCATTAGGAATACTATTTCATTTTCGCCCTTTTAAATATTTAGTTAAAAGAATAAGCAACAAAGTTTTGCCACTTTCGCTACCCCCTTGAATTTCAATAATACCCGCTCTTTTTCAAATCGGTTGCAAAGTAAACTCAACATATTTTTCTTTAAAATCTCAATAAAGGTGATATTTAAAAAAACCAATAATAGGAATTAGATAAAAACCAATTAGTAAAACTGCCCTATTCAAAAAAAGGGACGGACTCAGCGTCAGTAATAGGCGATAATCCCACCGCAAATTCCGAAAGTGATTAGAGTAATTAATAATTTATGGCGTCTTATTCAGTCGCCCACAAAATTTCTTTTCATGAATGTTGTCCTTGGCCTGTTTTATATCAAATAGAAGCAATTTTAAAAAACTTTCTCCATTCTTTTTAATTTCAATTGTTCTAGATTAGCCCAGTCATCAGTAATAAGTTGTCATTTCTCGTTCTGTTTTACTTGAAAAGATAAATGATCTTCCTCAATCCCCCGAGTTTCAACAATCAAATCAACTAATTCATGAGTCCCTATTCACAAATCTTTTATATTCCCCACACTTAGGAATATTTTTTGTTGATTCTGACAAGCCTTAGTTAAAAAACTAGATCACTGCCTTAACTGCTTCTGATTTTCTAAGGGGTCAGGACTGGGTAAAGCAAATGGGATTAAGTCTAAATCATCAATAAAAATATTGCCTTGAATCAAAACATCATCTAGGGAAAAATTCCCCTGATAAATGTTCCCTTGAAAATCAGGATGATTAGCCAATTTAGTTAGCAGTAAACTTTTACCTGTGCCAAGGTGGCCATAAATAATTATTAGATTGCTTTTTTTTATTAGTTCAATGAGGGTTTTTGGCATATTTTTATAATTCTTCATCAAATTTACTATCCATTGGATATCCACTAGATATATTATAATTTTAATTATCAGAACTTTTTTT